TTTTTATTGTTATATTTTTATTAAAAATATTTTAAAAGTTTTTTTAATTATACGGTATTATTATAATCATTCAATTCTAGAAGTTGGTGTATAAATTGTATTATAAACATTTGAAAGAAGTTTTATGGAAAGTTCAAATAGAGAATATTTTTTGATGTTTTTCTTATATTATTGGTTTATTTTAATTCATAAAAGATAAATATGAAAATGTAATATTTTAATACAATTATTTTAGTATAAAACAAACAATACAATATAAAGAAGTAATTTAATTAATTGTTTTAAAGTAATAAATTAATATTTTATATAAATTAATAGTACAAATCAAGAAAAAGAAAAAAGAATAACCTCAATATCAATAGAAAAAGGAACAAAAACTTCACAAAGTTAATAATACAAAAATATTTAAAATATTAAAATCTTTTTGTTATAATTAAGAACAAATTATAAATAAATAATTTTTTTTTTGGTTTTTATTTTATAATAAATCTCAAATGAACTAAAAAAAAATAGAGTATTAGAATGTCATCAATTCCAATTCATCAAACATTTTACTCTCTTGGAAAACAATACATGATGCTAAACAATTATTTATCAGCTCGAATTTATTTTTTATTAGCAGCAAGTTATACAAATTGTTTGTTTTAATAGCTTCAATAAAATAGATGAATAAAATAATGAATAGATAAGAATATTGAGATAATAACAAGTTTATGTGATTCAATGTTACAACTTAATCAGAAAAATCAATCACAATTATTAATTCTTAAATTATTTGGTGTTTCTCATTTAAAATATTTAAATACACCATTTCCTTCTTTAACAACATATCAATTATATATTATTACTAAATGTTTTGAAGATGATTTAGATTCATTACAAGTTATTTCTCAAATGACAAGTACTCCAAGTCCATTAAATTTATTACAACCTACTGAAATTATGCAGACTGCAAATATTTCATTTAGAGTTATTTATTGTCAAAATAATACATCATTAATAAGAAATTACTTAAATAGTGCAATTGAAGATTCATTAAATATTGGATTAATACATATTTTTTTTAAACAAAAGTTAGAAATTTCGTTAGTCCCTCAATCATTAAAGAAAATGATTAATAATTGTTCTCTTCCAGAAGTACGTGAATTATATGAATTATTATTTTCATTATTAACTCGTAATGATGTAGATTTCGTTCAAAGAATTTTATTAATGAAACAAACCAATGCATTACTTGAAAATTCTCAGTTAGTTCAATTAATAGAAACATTGTTTTCTTTTAATAAAAGAAAATATGAAGATGCTTTAGGACATTTAGAAAATTGTTGGTGTTTTAATACAGAAGTCCTACATACATCAATTGATTTTCATCTTAATAATACAATCAATTATAACTTTGATAATCTTAATGAAGAAGATGAATTAACAAAATATAAAATGGGACTTAGAATGGTTCAATTAAAAAAATTAGATAAAGCCATTGAAATATTAAAAGATAGTAAAGAAGTTGAAGGTATTATTGCATGTGGCTATGTTTATAGTTTACAAAAAGAATATCAAAATTCTATTAAATATTTAAATCAAGCATCAGCGTTTGTTCCATTTTGTTTCGAATTGAAATTAGTTATTATTCAACAATTAATTTGTTGTAATAATCTTTCTATAGCTGAAGAAGAATTAAATCAACTTATTGGTATTGTTTCAACTTGGGAACTGTTTTGTACAATTGGCCAATTAAGGTTTTCTCAACACCGTTATGAAGATGCTTTAAAAGCTTATAATACATCTTTAGAAAAACTTGGTAATGATTCTTCTAATTATTTAACTAAAATTATTTATGGAAATATTGCACAATGTTGGAGAAAATTGAATAATTTTGATGCTGCTATTGAAGCATTTAATAAAAGTCTTGGATTTAATGACTTTGTTGCATTATCTGGAATAGGATGGTGTTTCTACATGAGTAAAAATTATATTGAAGCACTAAAGTATTTCCAAAGAGCATTAAGTTTTAAAGAAGATCCTTTATGTAGGAAATTTATTGAAATAATTTCAAATCAATGATTTGTATTGAAACTATTTTGGTTTATAGAGTCTGCAATAATAAACAAAGAATGTTTTTTTTATTTAATTTAATAAAGAATATTTTCATCAATAAAAAGATGTTCTGAAATATAGTATGATAGTATCTTTTTTGTCTTGACTAGTCATTAAGATAAAGTATTATTTTTAATTAATATAAATGAACAATCATTATAACTTATTATTTATATTTTAATTTTAATATATTTCTAGATTAGAGTAAGAGAAGAAATTAAAAATAATTTTTATTTAAGAATATTTATCAATAAATTAGTCAAATTAAAGAATAATTATTGTAAAATTATAGGAATTTCTTATTGTTAATTAAATACTCTTTAATAGTATTAATTATGAAATAAATTTAATTTGTTTTTAATAACTTTTTATTTTATTTGGAATAAATAATAAAAAAAATATATTAAATAAACTATTAGTTATTGTAATTTACTTAAAATCTCTTTTGCTTCCTCACTTCCTAATTCTAATGCTTGTTCAAACCAAATCATTGCCATTTCATGTCCTTCTTCATCATTTTTTTCAAGTAATAATTTTCCTAAACGAACCATTCCATTTTTATCACCATTTTCAGCTGCTTTATTCAAACAATCAAATACCTTTTGTGGTTGGTTTAATTCCTGATAACAATCACTGACTTCAACGTAATCATTAAATCCTTTTGTTAAAGCACTTTCATACCAAAGAGCAGATTTTGATAAATCTTTTTTGACGCCAATACCATTCTTAAATGCACGAGCAATCATTAAACATGCATTTAATCCAATATTTTTATATCCAATAATATCTTCAGTATTATTTTTAAATTCTGATAAAAGTTCTTCACTTCCAGTAAACAACGTTTGGATAGCTACATAATACTTACACTCAATGTCTTCCATATGTTCACGTAAAAATTGAATACTACTTGAGTCATAATTTGCCCGACAAATATCCAGAATTCCTTTTAATTTTTTTAATGTGTCATCAAACTTATATTCAATTAAATCAAAGATACTTTGTGCGTTCTTGAATTCTTTCTTATCAATATAATATTTAATCATATAAATTGATGCATCTTTATTCCCTAATGACACGCACTTTTTCATAAATTCTATTGCTTTATCATTTTGACCTCCTTGTTGTAGCAATTCTATAGCAGCAAGATATAAAGCATCTTGATAATTAGAATCTGCTGCACAGATAAGATATTGCATATTTTTTGTAATTTTATATAAAATAAACATAGCTTCAGGAAGTGGTATTGCTTGTTGAATTAATTTAAGACAATCATCATTAACATGAAGAGTGTCTTTCTTTAAATCATCATTTGAAATCATAGTTTTTGCAAGAACTAAAGAGGCATATGGGTTACCATTATCTGCCTTTGATTTATAAAAATGGAGAAGCTTATCATCAAGTTTCAACATTCACTTAGATTTCTCAGTTCTTTTTTGAGGTTTGAAGGAACAAATTATTAAATAACTTCAATTTAAACTTCACAAAAAAGAAAGAGAAGTGAACAAAAACAAATGAATGACAAAGTTCAGAATTATTTATTACTCATCTTCTCTTTAACAGTACAAATAATATGATAACAATAATACAAATAATAAATAAAATAATCAAAGCAGCCATTGTCATAAGAACTGATATTACAATACAGAATTCGTTTGAGTGTTGTTCTTTAGAATTAAAAGAATCACGCCAATGTGCAATTAATGGAAATGTTTCATTAACATAATCATCACTTGTATCATCTACACTAACAGAACCTAATTGTTTAGATGGATCTTGATTAACAACCATAGGTGATGGTGAAATAGTTGGACTAATTGAATTTATTTGTGAATTTATAAGAGGATCTGTCATTAGAAACTGAACAAAATACTTTTTTCGATAAGAACTGAAAAGAGTTCCAGCAAGGGTGAAAAATTTTTCTTTTTTCCATTATTGGTTTTTCTTTTTCTTTCTTTTTTTCAACTTCAAATCATTAACCAATTGTTATTCTTTTTATGAGTAAGACTAATTCATCAAATTTATCTACTCCTCAAACAACACAAAATATTAAAAATAAACATCCAATATTTAAAGAGTCTACTTCTCCAAGATTTCAAATGATGTCAAGTTCACCATTATTTCAGAATTTAGAGTTTGTTTTAAATTATTTATAGTATAACACATCATTAATTAACTTTATAGATATAATCATATGACTAAAGACTTACAAGAAAAATATGGAACTAGTCTTAAATTTAAAAATAACAAAAATGATAATGAAATAGGAATTAGTGAAGCTCTTAATATTATGGTTACTATGATTGTTTGTGGTTGTGCACTTGGATTTATTGGATATGGATATGGTGGACCTGTTTATGCTGGACTTGGAGGAGCAATTGGAATATTTATTGGTATGATTGTAGATACATTGTTAGTTATTATTTATTCAAATAAATTAAAGCAACCTAAATCTCATTCAAAACATCAACAAATTCAAAATACAGAAAGAAAATCTAATGAACATAAAAAAACTGAATAAATTGATTTATGGGAATTGTCTTTTGTTTATCTATTGTTTATATAAATCATATAAGTTAAATTATAAAGTGTTTTTAAAAGTTTTGTACATAAGAATTATTCAATTCAAATAATTTTGAAATTGCTAATAAATTAATATGTTAATAAATATTGTTATAAATAATAATATGTATTGTTATTAATTAAAATAATAAAATATTAAACAAACTTGTTGTAATTGTTTTGCTTGTTCTGTTTTTTGACAACTTATAAATGATTTTAATGTAATTTTTAATGCAATTTTAACATCTTCTGTTGTTACAACTCCTCGTAAATGAATCTTAGCATGTGCTTCTGAAAGACGATTAATTGCTTCAATTTGACGAGCAGTAACTTGCCCAGTATGATATTTATCACAACATTTTCTCATTTCTATATAAGCTTGTTGAATCATTTGTGATCCAACAGTCCCACTCCATTTAGGATGACAATTTTGACGAGCATAAGCAATATATTTCTTTAATAAAACATGTGAAATGATATTTGTTTTATTAACAATTGGTGCAATTGACTCTCTTTTTTGAGAAGCTTCAGGATGATTTATTGAATGAGACTCAACTACAAATTGTGCTAATTTATAATCTTTTTCATAATCCACAACATCTCTAACAATCATAATAAGATCAAATCGAGAAATAATAGGTTCTGTTAGATTTACATTTTGATTTAAGTTCTTGTTTGGATTATATTTTCCTGTTTTAGGATTTGCTGCTGCAATAACAGAACAACGTGCTTTTAAACTAGTAACAATACCAGCCTTAGAAATAGAAATTGATTGTTGTTCCATTGCTTCATGAATAGATGTTCTGTCTTGATCATCCATTTTATCAAATTCATCAATTAAACATACACCTTCATCAGCAAGAACTAATGCACCTCCTTCCAATGCCCATTCTCCATTCATTGAATCTTTTTTTACAGCTGCAGTTAAACCAACAGCAGTACTTCCTCTTCCTGTAGTAAAAACAGCCCTTGGTGCTAATTTTTGTGAATACTTTAATAATTGTGATTTGGCAGTTCCTGGATCACCAAGTAAAAGTACATTAATGTCACCTCTCGTTCTATGATTTCCTTTATCAACTAAAACCCTTTGTTCTCCACCAAAAAGTGCAAGTGCAATTGCTGCTTTTGAGGCATCATGTCCATATATTGCTGGTGCAATTGAATTAATAATGATTTGAAAGATTTGTGGGTTGTTTGCTAATCTTCTAATTTCTTGTTCTTCTTCATGAGTTATTGTTGTTGAAATAACATCACCACTTCTTTTTTCTATAGTATTTGCTTCAATAACTGTACAAAATACTGGAAATCCAAAATTACGATTAAGTCCTGTTTCATAGTTATGGACATACATTCCAGTTATATCAATTTCTTCTCCTGGTTGTGCTTTATCAATAAGATCACCTAATAAAATAACGTCCTTTGTACGAGGGACATTTCCAGCAGAAACACTATTAGGTGGTTCTTGTATTGTAATCTTTTGATAATTTTGATAAATTGTGTTCTGTACATCAATACTAAAAGGTCCTTTTGATTGACAAACAGTGCATACTTGAAGTTGTGGAACTTTATTCATTTCTTTATTAATAAAATATGGTCCTAATCGTGCTTGACATACTGAACAAATATATTTCACTGCTTTTAACTGTGGAAAAATTGCAGTGACTCGGGTTACTATTCCAACAACACGAATTAAAGTATTAATATGACAATGTCTTAAGTCCCTAATTGCTATTCTTGTAGTATAATCAACAATACGAACATTAACTTGTTTTCTAATATCTTTATAATCTGGATATAATAGGAGTGTGGCTTGTGTTGCAGCTTCTGAAAAAATTGGTATTACACTTGATGGACATAATACAATCCATTGAGCTAATAACTTTGATGACTTTGCTAGATGTAGAAAACTAACATCCAAACTTCCTGAATTTCTACTTACCATTTTTCTAATTGATAAAATATAAACAACATTCTTTGATGTCTCTGTTTCTGTGTAATATAATAAAAAATTCTTTAATGTTTCTACTAACAAATCATGAACATCTTCTTTTAAAATAGCATCCTTAATATGTTCTTTAGTATACATTTGTAATTTACTTTCAGCTTCACTCATCATCATTTGTAATTGTTCAATTGGCATTTTTTCTATTTCTCGTTGCTTAAATCGTTCTTTTACTTCTTCTTCATTTAATCCAAATTGTGGAATGACAATATCAGTGTCTTGTCTCATTGTTAATTTTTCAATTTCACTCCTTCTTCTATGTTGTTGTTCAACAAGTAAATTAAATTCTTCAATACTTGAATCTTCTTCATCAATAACTTTCCTCATTAGTGCATTTCTTCTATCAATTTCTTCATCTGCTTTTCTTCGAGCCTCAATTTCATCAACACCTTCATTATGTTCAATCTCATTGTTAATCAAATTAGGATCATCATATTCACTTTCTTCACTTCTTTCATAGTCTTCATCCATTAATTTAGGATTAAATAAATCTTCTCCTTCATCATCAGATGACTCTGTTTCATTAAGTTCATTCACTCCTTTTGCTATACCAATTTCTTTTTCATACTCTCTATCTTCTAATTCTTCTTCCTCTATACCATCATTTGGTCTCACATCTAAATCATCTTCCTGATGTTCATCTGTTTCATATTCATGATGTGTTTTATTATTATCATCACTTTCTTGTAATATTTGATCAATCATACTGTCATTTAATTCTTCTTCACTATGAGCTTCTTTTTGTGTTGTAAGATGGTCTTTATGAGGATCAGCTGAATCTGTCATTCCTTAGTATATTCACATTAATAAGTTCTTTTTCAATGAATTAAAAACACATTCTCCTTTTAAGTATTTTTGTTATAGAAATTTACATTTTTGTTTTTACAAATTAATAAAAAATAATTTTGAAAGAAAAAACGAATAAGAAGAATTCTTAAAATAAAATTAAAGAAATTAATAGAAGTTGTAGAAACATCTTTTTTATAGAAAAAAAAAAAAGAAAAAATAACTTGTGAAAAATGACTATCTGAACTAAAAAAATAAAAGAGTTTCAAGATGACCCAAGACGCGGTCAAACTATGTATTATTGGTGATTCAGGTGTTGGAAAAACTTGTATCTCAAGTAGACTTGTTGATGGAACATTTAAATCAGACGAAAAATCAACTATTGGTGCTTCATTTGTAACTACAAATATTGAAAATAGTAAAATAGTTATTTGGGATACTGCTGGTCAAGAGAAATATAGATCTATGGTTGGTATGTATTATCGTGGTGCTTCAGGAGCAATTATTGTTTATGATATTACAAGTAGAGCAACATTTGTTGATTTAGATGCTTGGCATGCTGATTTAATGAAGACTGCAACTGATGATATTGTTCTTTGTATTGTTGGTAATAAATCTGATTTAGAAGCATCAAGGCAAGTAAGTACTGATGAAGGAAAAGAGTTTGCTTCAAAGAAAAATGCTATGTTTTATGAAGTTTCAGCAATGAATGGAAAAAGTTTGTCTTTTTTATTTGTTTTTTTTAAATGTTTTTATTAAAAAACATAATATTTTCATGTATTTATTCTTTAGATGTTACTGAACTTTTCACTGAAATTACAAGAAAAATTAAATCTTCACAACCACAAAAACCACAAGGAGGACTTTCTTCTTCTGATAATATAAACGTTGCTACAGTATCTACACAACCAACAAAAAAGAAAGGATTCTGTTAAAACATTAATTTTTTTTCTTTTCATTTTTTTATTCTCTTTGTTTTATTTTATATATCTTTTTTTTTTATTGCTGTGAGAATTAATTGTATCGGTTGTTTGGTTTTTTTATAAATGAAGATTCTATGAGAAATCAAATTCTTTTTTCCTTTATTTTAAAATTATTTTCTTTATAAACATTGTAAATGACAGTTAACTGATTAATAGGTACATGTAGTTTTACGTCTCAATAAACGAATTAATGGATTAAAAAATATTATCCATCATTCGACTAATAAATTTATTGATATTTAGTTTAATTGACTGTAACTCATAAAAAAGAGTGATAAAATAGATACTATCAATAATTCTTTATTATATTAATGTAAAAGTGAAATAATTTATTAAAAACTAAACTGGTATTGATTTAGAAGAAAATAGTTTTCCTTTATTTGAGTTTTTAATATAATTAAATAAACAAAAAAGGATCAAATTCTATATAAAATATGTTTTTTTTAAGAAAAGAATAAGAACTAACCTAATATCAACAACAACTACTACACAAATTAATGGTTAAATCAATTCATTATTTTCTTTTTTAATATTATTATGATAAAAAAATGAGTTTATAAATATTAAATTTTAACAGAATAAACAATTTTTCTCGTTTTATTGAATGATTTTATTTTTAAACTTAAAGATATTTTTTTTTCCAATTATGGAAAAGGACATTTCGATCTTTCTAAAAAAGAAAATTGATAGATATATGAATCTATGAATATTAAAACTCTTAAAATTACTCCCTTCTTAGAATGAATTTTAATGACAATGATATAAAAATAAAATTGAATGAAATTATGATGTTTATTATTGATTTTTTATTCAACTTTTATTAAAAAATCAAAATTATCATTACTTGTTAATTTGTGTCTAAAGTAATTTAATAACTCTTCATAAATAGAAAATTAAAGATAAAATAAGTAAATTCAAAATTTTATTCATAACTTTAGTCTTAAAAAATAGTGAGGTAATATTATTAAATAAAACAATTAGTGTATTTTGATAATTAATATTTCTATCTCTTAACACTAGTTCTATGCATTATTATTATAATTATTTAATTCTACTCTTTACACTTTATTTAAATTTTACAAATCACTTTCATAAGAAGTTTTACTTGAACTATCATTGTTATCATTACATGTTAACGAATCATCCTGACCCTTTTGTTCTTCTTCATTTGTATGTAGATTTTGAATTTCATCTTCTTTTTCTTCTTGGTTTTGTTCATCACTGTCATAAAAGCTTTGACTATTAAACCCTTTATTTTCATCTTCATCATTTTGATTTGACGTATATTCTTTTTCATCTTCCTCGTTTTGACTTGAAATAAGTTGATTGTCATTATCCTGTTCTTGACTTGAAGTATATTCCTTTTCGTCTTCATTTTCTTTATTTGAAGCAGATTTTTTTTCATCTTCTTGACTAATAACCTCATCTTTTTTACCTTTTTTCATTATAATTACTTCTTCACTTGATGACTCTTTCCAAACATTATCATCATACCCATAATATTCTAATATTTTTATTGTTTTATTTTCTTTTTCACCTACTTTTATTCCATTTGTACCAAGAATAAATTCATTCTTGAATCTAACAGTGTCTCCTTTTTTTAATGGAAGTGCTTTTGAAGGTTTCTCTTGTTGAACACTGACTTGTACCAATTCAGGAGGTAATCTAAAAGGGATAACTTCTTCACTTTTTTCCTCTTCTTCCTTCTGTTCTTTAAGTCTTTGATATTTTTCTTTAATCCTTTGTTTTTTCTTTTTTTCTTCTTCTTTTTCCTGGTCATTTTTTCTAGTAATTATTTCCTCACTGTCAGAATTATCCAATTCATCTCTCCATTCATAGTAAATTCTCTGTTCATTAACTACATCTTCATTACTTTGTTTTCTTTTTCTACCACCACTGACTTCACGTTTATATGACTTACTCATTTTATCTTCTTAGTTTTAACATATAAAACCAAAACCCCAGTCAAATTAAGAAACCTATTCATCATTTTAATTCAATTTAAAACAAAATTAATTTTTAGATAATACGTGTGAGTTGAAACTTCCCATCGTTCTTCTCCATATTTTCCAGTTGTTTCATCTAGTTCAACTTCCATATTTGGTATTTTAAATGCAATAGACTGATATGGCTCTGCTGCTATTATCAAATATTGATAATTATTATCTGGTGGTTCAACATGTTGTTCAAAAGCTCCCATAATTTTAAATAAAGGAATAACACCATTAGCTATGTCCGGCAAATTGACAGTAATTGCAAGTGATTTTTGATGAGTTGCTGAGTCAATTTGTTTAGTAATAGAAAACCCAGGAGTTCCAATTTTTTTAAAATACTTAATTGGTACTTTAGGTATAGCAGTGTTATTTTCTTGAACATCATGCATTTTCATTTCTTTTAATTCTCTTGCACGAAGATTTTGTTGGTGCCGTTTTCCTTGAGTGTGTGCTAAATAATTTGCTTCTGTAAGGTGTGTTGTTAAACATAATTTACATTGATATGTACCAACATGTGTTTTATAGAAGTATGGGTCTTTACTTAAATCAATTCTTTCAAGAGCAAGTTGTTTTAATCTTTCTTTTCTTGCAGCAGCAGTTTCAGCGAGTGTTGCTAGTCCACCACTTCCAGGTTTACTTCCATGTTCTCTTCCAAACATATTAACAATTATTCATTCTATTTTTTTTTAATTTTTTATTTTTTTCTAAAGTTCTATTAAATCATTTTATCATATTTATGTCAGAATCTTATCTCATTCATCGAAATATATCAATTTATGGTATCTTATTTATTCTTTTTTTTTCTTTTATTCATTCAGACATAGAATTAAACTTTATAGATAATATTTATGAAATTGAAACCTTTCAAAAAAAACAAGAAAAATTAGATATTGTTCTTATAGTTTGTTATCACTATTTGATTAGTTGTTATCTTATAATGTAATTCAATTATACAGAAAGTATTAACCATTCTTGGAGTAGTTATTTTAATATTTAAAGTAATAGACATAATCGTTATATTATTTCCACTTCCAATTTCAAATTATGCAAGAATAATACATAATTGTGTCTCAATTATTTTTATAATTCCTTCATTTTATCTTTGGCCTCATAAAGAAAGATATTACTTTGAACAATACTGTAAACCAAAATATATATTAGTCCCACTTATCGTAATGTTTGGTATTTGTATTTTATATGTTTCGATGTTAACATCAATTTATTTGTATGGAATAAATATCATTTATGAAATCATCATAGCGTATTGTATTGATGACATTAATGACTCTTACAAATATGTAAAACAATTTCTTGACAACTCAGTTTATCAAAACTAGAAGAAATCTTTTCATTAAAACAATCTCGGAAAAATTAAAGCAAAAAGACATTAAAAATAAATTCTGAGACTCATAGATTTATTTTTAGATTTTGTGATATTCTTTTCACTTTTTTTCATTTAATGTGATTTTGTAAAAAGATAGAAAGTTCTACAAAGTAGTAAAGTTTATTCATTTTAATAATAAGATCTCTAAACTGACGGGGAAAAATAATAAAAAAATGAAAAAAAAAGAAATGTATCGTTGTTTCTATTTTTTTAAAGAAGAAGATTGAAGATGTTTGTGGATCTCAAATTTCAATGAGTGATCATCCAAACTTTGCAAAGCTTAAAAAAACTCAAGTAGGTCAGTTAAAACCATCAGTAAAAGAGGGGTATCTTGTTAAAAAAGGTGCAGACTTTCATACCTGGAAAAAAAGATGGTTTGTTATGAAAGATCAATATATTTGGTATTTCCCTAAAAACACTGGAAGCGCTCAACCAAAAGGTGTTATTGAATTAGATGGTAATTCTTCTGCTGTTCTTGTTCTTGATCAAAAAAAACCAACAATTGTTATTAAATCAGTTCATAGAACTCAAGAAATTAATGCCGATACTGTTGAAGATGCTAAGTCATGGGTTGATGCTATAAATAACCATGTTAAAACACTCGGACCACAAACTACACCACAAAGTAGTTCTCAATCTCAAACACAAGTTCAACAACCAGTAAACACTGCACCAGTTCAAATGTCAACAGAAGCAGAAAGTACATCAGTTCCATTACCATGGGCTCAAGTTCAACAAAGAATTCAAGCAGAAGAAGGACATTGGGATCCAGCTAAAATTAAAGAATTTATGGTTACATTGGGTAAAGTTACTTGTGACCAATATTTATATGCAATTATGAATATGGTTCTTTCAAATTGGCAAGATGATGCTATTGCTGCATTTTGGTGGGATGATTTTTGTGATGGAGATTTGGAAGATCTTGAAACTGTTGTTGCAGGACTTCAAGGAGACTCAACAGTTGCAATTGGAAGTGATGGTAAAAATCTTCCACCAAATGAAACAGTTTTTGTTTTAGGAAGAGATGAAAATGGAGCAAAACGACTTGCTAATATTTATCAATGGGTTGTTAAACGTGAAGAATTCAATTGGAGTGAAGTTACAAGATGTGTATTAAGTGCAATTGGTAATTGGGGATTAAAAACAAGTGAGCCATTTTTTGAAGTGTTTGTTAATGAAATAGTTAAAAATTGGAGCGCTTCAGAAATAGCTGCGTTTGTTAGTTATATTGCTACATATGCAAAGAAAAATGAAGATGTTGCTTGGGAAAATTGGCCACCACATGTTGTTACTTTCTTTAAAAAGTTTGTGATTTTAATGAGTAAATTTTTAAATAAAAAGATTATTAACATCATATAGAATGTCTGCTGATTGGGATGCTGAAAAGAAAAAATCATTTTTGAACATTGTTACTGTGATGTGGGATTGGCCAAAAGAGAGTATTCAAAGACTTAATAATGTTTTGCATGACACAGAATAAAACAGTGCATTTCTTTAATTTTTAAAGAATTTGTTTTTTTTTTGTTTTCTTTCTTCATTAATTTTTTTGAAGAAACTTAAAAAAAGGAATTTGATATGACTTACAGTAGATGTGGTATTGTTGCTCTAACTGAAAGAAAATCTCGATTTCTTGAAATACAAACTGATAGAACTTCATATCTTCTTGGAGATGTTGTACTTGTTACTATTAATGCTAAAATGGATCATATGCCAAGATATGAAAGTGTTGTACTCTTAGTTTCTTGTGTTGGAACAATAAGTAGAACATTTACTGATGTTAAAATGCCTCCAAACCCAAAGGTATTATCAAAAACATATTTTGAAATGAAAAATGAATTTATGAATCAAAATTTCCCGTTGTCATATAGTTTTTCATTACCTGGAACATCTCCTTTCACTGGTGAAGAAAGTTCATTTGTATTATCAAATTCTATTACTTCTCAAATCTTTAAGATTAATGCAATGCACTCTTATCGGTTTGTTTTGATAATTCCTTCTTAAATTATTTCTTTACAAAAATACAAAATAATAAATTTAGTATTGATTTATTTGTTAAACAAGAAGGAAAAATCTATTTGGCTGAGCAGAAGGATATTGTTGTTAGAAGAACTTTCCAACAAATACAACCTTCTCCTTCTTGGAACTTTGAAATAGATAATTTTAAAATTAAAATTGCATTAGATAAACCTTCTTACTATCCTCAAGAAAATGGGTTTTTGTTATTTGAAGTTAACAGTAAAGTTCAACGTTCAACCTCAATTCCTAAAATCAGTTTCAATCAAACATTAATTTTTAACTTTGATGACCAACAAATTGTTGTCAAAAAACAAATTATTCCTCAAATGTCATTACCAGCATTTCAACCATATTATTATGGTAAACGTCCTCTCCTTTTTAAAATCCCTGAAGGTCTTCCTCCTTCACACTCAACACCATTGTTTAAAGTAGAATATTCATTCGATATTAATATTGATCTTTTCTATGAAGGAGGAACTCAAACCCCATTAAAAGTAGTATTAAAATCTACAATATTAGCACCACCTAATTTATGTGGTGCTTGTGTATTTATGCCTCTCATTACTAATGACTTTAATCCTCCAAGTGAAAGTATTTTAAGACCTTTTTGGCAAGAAGACAAATCAACTGATACATGTGGGATATGTGGAGCAAGTTTTGGTCTAATTACTCGTCGACATCATTGCCGAAGATGTGGAAAAGTATTTTGTGGAAGTTGTTGTGTTGATAGTGTATTGATGAAAGACCTTGGTTTTGATAGACCAGAACGTGTTTGTAAAAGTTGTTTCAAGTTAATTCAGTCAAATTAATATTTATATTTGTTATATATATCATCAACTTTCATATAATATTTTTTATTAGTATTATTAGAACAAGAATGAATGGACAACAGACTAAAAATAGTGTTTCTTTTTTGGGTTGTATTTTTAGGAAAAATTTCACGCAATTACAATACAAAAGAACAGAGAGTGAGACAAACGAATAGAAAGGAAAGTGACTTAGGAAAAATTTAATGAAAAAAAAATTAGAAAAGCCAAAAATACATTCAAAAAAAATAGAAAAGAATAAAAGCCAAAAAAAGACATTAAAAGTCTATTTTTTCCCCAACTAGGAATTATTTAAGGGTTATAAGGTCTAAAATTTTTTAGTTAAATAAGCTATGGGTTGCTTCGGATCAAAACCAAAGAAAGAAAATAGTGGAAATAATAAACCAAAGGCAGAGAAGAAAACTGAAACTGAATTGAAACAAGTCGATAATAAACCAAAAGACCAAAAAGTAGATACTAAAACAACTAACAATAATAAACCAGCAGAAGGAACCCATGTTCCTAAACCAAAAGGAGATGCACCAGTTATTGAAGATAGACCAAATGGAAAGAAAGAAGTTGTATCAGGTGATAAGAGTATTCTTCTTGATGAAATCTATAAAAAACATTATGCTAATGTTGATAAGGCTCATGATGAAGTTGAAGAAGCAAAACAAGCATGGTTGGCTGCTAAAGAAAAGAAAGATCCAAATACTCAAAAATTAAATCAAGTCTTCCAAGACAAAAAAGCTAACTTTGAAAAAGTTAAAGAACAAGCTCATCGTGCTGCTTTTAAAGAAGTTCAAATTTATATGGTTGATGAAGATGCTATTGATTTACATGGACTTCAAATTGAAGGAGCAATTATGATGATGAAAGAAGAAGTTGCAGCCAGAAGAAAAGCTGGAAAGAAAATATTAAAAATTCAATGTGGAATGGGACATCATAACACTGTTGGATATTCTAAGATTAAAGAAGAAGTTGTAAAACAACTTAAAGATATGGGTGAAAAGTTTACTGAAGACAAAGATCACGGATTCGTTAATGTTGAACTTTAATTGTAGAAGTGGTAATTTTATTCATTTAAAATATTTATAATAATATTATTTTTAGATAAATAAATATGACAATAAAAAAGAATATTAGGAAAATAAAGCTGTTATTTAATTATTCTATTTTAACTCTCACATATTTAACTTCATAAGCCGGATTTTAGTTGCCCTTTTTTTTGAAATGTTTTGTAACACTATTTTTTATAATTATAAGTAACACAAATTTAGTTACGTAATAAGATTGTTTCAATGAAATATGAATCACAAAAAAAATTAAAACAAATTCACTTAGAAAAGATAACATTTTGATTTTTTTGGCTCTTTTTTATTTTCTAATGGAACAGAATCAGTATCATCTACTGCACAGGTCTCTGCAACTTCAAGAGCCATACACTTTAATGCCTCTTTACATCCATCACCAGTTTTAGCTGAACAAACAAAATAACTCTTATATGACTTATCATTCACAAACTCATCTGCTTCTTCTTTAGGAGTTTTAGAATCTCCTAAGTCACTTTTATTTCCAATAAGAACAACTACACATTTTGGAGAAGCATAATAAGTAATGTCCCTTGCCCAGTTTGTTAAATTTTTAAATGAGGTTTCATCAGTTAGGTCAAATACTAAAAAGATACCACACGACTTTCTATAAAATGAAGAAGTTAATATTCTAAACCTTTCTTGACCAGCAGTGTCATAAATCTCTAGTTTAATATTTTTCATTTTCGTTGATTCAGGAATATCAACATCAATTACTTTAAAGTTTGTAGAAGTAGAAGGTTCTTGGTCATCAAATTTGTCTTCAGTGAAACGGGTTAATAAACAAGTTTTACCGACACCAGCTTCACCAATCACAAGTATTTTAAAGTTAGTGGGAGAAGAATTTGTGCTGGAAAGTGAATAAAAGGGCTATCATTAAATATCTTTAAAAGAAAAGAAAACAACATACTCGTATTGCATCAAACTGAGAGAACTTAGATTTCTCTTTTTTCCTTGTCTTTTTAGATTTTTCTTCTTGTTGATTATTTGAGATTGTTAGATTTTTTTCTCTTTTAATACTTATTTTATTCTTAGAATAATTGGATTAATTATGAAACGACCTTTCAGCTCTAATTAAGAAAATAAGAGGAATCTTACAATTATTTAGATTATCTCATCAAAATGTCCGATAGCAAAGAAAGTGTTATCTTGAATGTTGTGCCTGACGAAGCATCTGAAAAACTACCCAAATTACCTACCTCACAACAGAAAGAGAGAATTAAAAATGCTAAGAAACAAACAAAAAACTCAAAAAAGAAAGTAAAAGAAGTAAAGAAACAGCAAAAACAAGAAATCAAGAAGGCTAAAAAAGATATGAAGGAAACCAAAAAGGTAGAGAAAGAGACAAAGAAGTTAGCCAAAAAAGAGTTGAAGGATGAAAAGAAAATGACTAAGGGATTAGTTAAAGCTGACAAAAAAGAAGCTAAAATTACTTCTAAAGCCATTAAAGACGTTAAACAAAATGCAAAAAAAGCCGACCTCAATTGAATTATTCCTTTTCAAATCTCATTTTCTTTATTTCTCGAAGAAGAAACAGTTAGTGTTTTGCCAAAAAGTTCGGCTTTGTTCATATTTAATATTGCTTGGCTAGCATCTTCCTCATCTTCAAAAACAACAAATCCATATCCTTTATTTAGTTTTCCATTATCTTTTGGGAGTTGTATATCAGTAATTTCTCCAAACGGTAAAAAAACTTCATATAATAATTGTTCATCAACAAAATCACCTAACCCACTTACATATATTCTTTTTTGTGTTTGCATTTGAAATACCAGTTTGAGTTAAGGTAAATGAAATAAAAAATTAGAATTAAAAAGTTAAATAAAATTATTATTTAATCCACTTCTTGTTTTCTCTTCTCTAACAATCCTTTTCCTATTGTTAAATTGTTCACAAATAATAGGAAATATTTTTTAATTCTTGAAATTTCCTCAATACGTTCTGCTTCTGGATCTCCAAGGATAAATAAATCAACTGTTCTTTTTACTGACTTTTCAACTTTTGTTAACATATCATATAGTTCCAGATATTTTTTTATAGTAGTACAAACAGCCTCGTCTATGTCATCTATTAAAAACGCTTTTGCAACATCACATAGTTTCCATTTATCATCACACAATATATGGTATAATACTTTCTTAATTTCTTCTTGTATTTGAAAATCAAAAGTCTCATTATTCTTTTGTGACTCAAGAATATGGGCATTAAATTCTTCTAAATTATCAATAACTCTTGTTATATAGTCTATTGCTTTTTCTATTGGTGTTAATGTTATCATTTTCCTTTTTGTAACAGCAACCCTTCGTTTAGAGGATGGTAATTTCGATTGAGTGTTGAGAATTAATCGTGTCATACCGATTTGTAATAGTGGAGTGTTTTCTAATAAAAGTCCATTAACATCTCCAATATGAGATAGTGTTGAAAGAGAAGAGGATCCATCTAATTTATTTTCTCTTTGATTAGAATACAATACATCACATTCATAAACAAATTCACCAACAGGAGTGAAACGGACTGGTTGTTCTCTAATTACTTTATTGTTAGAATATATATATACTTGTTGAATTACTATTTTTTCACATGTTTCATCATTTGGTGATTCTACAATTTTAGCTCTTTGTGCAATTGGTGTTTTCTTAATATCTGTAACAAATTCATCATAATTAAGTAATGAAGAATAAATGTAATGACATGGTTTATTTTCTTCTTTCATTCCAGAATTTAATGCAAAATGGACATGATAAAAGTGTAATGGATGTCCTGATTTAGACATATTTTCACATACTTTTGTCAATGTTTCATGTACTTTAGCAAGTTCAATAATATTTGACGAACAGTCATAATATGGTAGTAAGAAGCAACACATCTGATGGGCAAACCATTGTTCACTTAATTTAAAATCTTCTACTGCTAGCCATGCATGTTTAATCATTGATTCAAATGAACAACTTGAATAACTTGCTACTAAAGAAATATCAGCACTTACAAGAACATCAGCAAATAAGTCTTCAATAACTGATATATCAAATAAATCTAAGTTTTCTGCTTGTTGTGAATCTCTAAGAATACAATAAATATAATTCATACACATAACTTCACAGATTCCAGCAACAACATGTCTGTTATACTTTCTATTTATTTCTGCAGATTGTTCGACCCATGTTAAGAATAACATTGGTGCATTAACATATTGTTTAGCATCTATGGCTAATAATTCAAGTAATTCATCAATATCTTTAATTTCTTCTTTACCACTTTTTTTGTCATATCTCCATAATTCTTCTTGTTTATTAAGAATATCTTGAGCTATTTTAATTGTTTTTGAAAACTCTTTATCGAATTTACGTGTTAAATATAAACTATTATCAATAATAGATGTAGTTCTAAAACAATTTGAGTTATCAAGGAATAACGAATACAAATCATTAATCATTTTATTATTTTTCTTTTTTTCTTCAAGGTCTTCTTCTGTTTTAATAATTTCATTGTTTTTGCCTTCTGCTTGTATAGTACCTGATAATCGTTTAAATTCTTTTATTTGTTTTTTTATTGAATTGATTGAAACAGGTAACTCAAATGGAACACAGTATTTAACAATTTCTGGTATATTTTGAACAGCAATACTATCAATACTATCTATAATTTGAGTTAATTGTTGAATATTATTTTCATTAACTTTTTTATTATAAGTTGACACTAATAATTTTAATGAATCAGAAAAAAGTTTTCTTTGTGTTTCAAATTCAGCTTCAACTTTCATTCGTTTATCATGACCTTCTTCATAAGAAGTGATCCAAGTAATACTTTTATTGAACTGACTTAAATTATTATCAGTACTTTTATTAACAATATGCTCATACCAATTCTTTCCAAATGGCTCAGGTTTAATCCCATGGTCTACTGAACAAATGGAATTTCCAGTAATATCAGTTATTTGGAATTCATTTATTTTAAAACAGCCATTCTTTTGAAGATCTGCCTTGAATTGAGAGAATAACAATTCTTTTTGTTGATTAATTTTATTATAATTTATAATAATTGAATTCATTTTATCAATACTATCATCTTCTATTTTAATTTTTTTCATTCGTTGAACAATGTCATCCATTAAAAACAAATACTCACTCCGCTCATCAATTTTAAGACTTTTTAAAAACATTGACATTTCAACCCATGCATAGGTTTTGAAGGATGCTCGTGCAAATTTTTCTTGTTGAATTTGATATTCTTCAGCAAGTTTTAATTCCTTTTTATTTGCTTCAATACGAAGCATGAGTGCTTCGATAATACAACTTAGTTCAAGCCCTTTCTTTAAAACACTTTCCCAATAAAAAAAGAATGATTCCCATGGTGCCATAAATCCAGAAAATTCCCCTTGTCTTTGACTTCTTCTTGTTCTTATATCTTTTGTTATTTCTTCTAAATTCTTTAATTCTAAGATTCTTGCTGAGAAGTATTTAACACTAACAGGACCATTAGATAAAGACTTACTTATTGCATTAATATTTGTTTTAATAATACGAGCATTTTCTGCATTTAAAGCGTCAATCTCAACTCGTTTTTGTTCATAATTTTTTCTAACTTCTATTATTTGTTGAATCTTTGATATCTGTTCTTCCAGTAACTCAATAACCATTTTAACCATTTTTTTCATCTCTTCAACTGAAATAGGGAATAGTGGATTAATTTCTCCTATTGCTGAACATATCTCATCGTATTGGTCCATTAGCTTTGTACTTTCTTCATTTGCCTGACATATAGAATTAGCTAGTCGTTGATGAATTGTTTTTAGTTCTTTGTCTTCCATTGGTTCTTCAAAATAACATTCAAGAAAACTGGTTTTTCTTGCCCAATTAAGTATTTCTTCTCCAAGTGCTTTTGCTTTGGTACAAATGGCATATCGTGTTTTTAATGAAGCTTGTACTTTTTGTGTTCCAATTTTTCTCATATTAAATTCATCGAAAAATGATTCGTATTCTTTTGATATTGATGTAATCAATTGAAGTGCTGAATCCTTTAATGAACCAGTAAACCTTCTTGTGCAAAACTGTGCCATTTTAGTTATTAATAACCTATCAAATGGAACGCTGTTGAACACATCAACATGATATTCAGTTAAGAAAGTAGTGTTATTAATTGATAATGTTGTTAAAACTTTGTCTTCAGCTTGGAACCCTTCTGATGCTATTTCAAGGCATCTCCTCAAAAACCCACAAACATCGTTGAAAGACCCAAGAGAAATTCCATTTGATAATTCTTGAGAACGAAGAATCCATATATAGTCATCATAAATATTTGAATTTGCCATTATAAGAGCATTTTTCAAAGCAATATCATTTGAATGAATGAATTGAGAACAAATTGCTGGCATTTCTGAAATTGATTTTTTTAATTTAGTGACATGATGAGAAGACCATTGTGCAACTAAACCTCCAAGATTAGAAGAAGTTAATGAAGTTTTATTGCTGAACACAAACTCTGATTTTAATGTTAAATAGATTAGTCTACTTGAAAATAGTCGTAATAATGTTTCTGAGCTATTTGCCATTTTAAGTAATGATTTTAGTATACACTGTGATAGTTCTTCTGATTTAATAATTAAAGGGAAATGAAGAATAATAATCATATAAAGGAAATCAACAATTGGAAGAATAACTATTCCATTTAGTGGTGTTTCAATAACAGCAGCATATAATAATTTTGACAGACCATTCTCAATATCACTATTAGTAATATCTCTTTGATTCATTAACATATCAATACAATCCATAATAGTTCTTAACACAGAACGTAACAAAAAGTGTTGGACAACTAACATTGCCATATTTTCTTTCCCAGAATGTTTTATATCTTCAGATGAAGTTGTATCACTTAGTTCACTTATTTCTGAATGATTTACACTTCCTGTTTTCTTTCTTCCTTTTCCAGTTACTACTTTATTAATACCAGCCACAACACTTTCTGCACCTCCAACCACTGACCTTCCAAGCCCTTCAGCACTTTCTGTAATTTTCATTGTAAAATTACCAATAAATTTTGTTGGTTTTTTAACTTTATTTTTTGAAGGTATATTGTCGTCAACTGAAATTTGATGAGAAGGTAATGAAGAAAGGTTATTTGGAGAACTTAATGTAGTGTCTAAGTTTGAATCAATTTCGTCAGTTTTTCCTATTGACCTTCTACATTTTTTAGGTATTTGACCTTTTAGACCAGAGTTATGAAAACAACGTTGTTCAGTTGATGTTGCTAATGTTCCTCTTCTCTTTACCCAACTACGATCCATTAATCCTAACTGTGATGTAAATTCATCAGAGACATCAACAAGAATAATTCTACTCTGAAAAAGAGGGATATTTGCTGTTGTTATTTGAGAATCTTTTAAAATTGTATCAATTAACTGTAAACGAGCAGAATCATATTCTACGTTAATATTAAATTTCTTTGAGGTAATTAATGAAGTAAATCGTATTGCATTTGTTAAATGAAACAATAAGTCACAAACACGGGTTGATACTTCTTTTTGGAAATAAAGTAATAAGGTTTCTTTATCAATATTTTTTAATACCCAAATTAGTGATGTATAAAATACTTTCCAAACAAATACCTCTTTAAAGTCTTCATTATTCCATTTTGACTGGTCTTTAATAAATAACCCATAAGGGACATTGAAATTATTCTCAAAATATGATTTTTCTTCAATAGCGTATGATATTAATGGAAACATTAAAGCTGCTATTTGTGATTTAAGTGTTTCGTAATGTTTAAAAGTATCATATTTTTCAGTCATAGATCCGATAGAGAGAATTGCCATTTTTGAGATAGTAAATTTTAATGACTTTGTATGATTGTCCTGGTCTTTATCAGTTTCTTGTATGTCTTTTACAATTAATTTCATGTACTGACGAATCAATAACCCATGGAAGAAATGTTCTCTTTCCATAATATCAGGAAGTTCTGCTGTTTCCTTAAATACCAATGGCTTAGGACAATCCTTTTCATATAAATAATCAAAGTCTCTTAAAATATTTAAGAAGTCAAATCGAAGAAGATAAGGTAAATTGACAAATCCTTTATTATCTAATCCTGTTGAAATGATTGGTAAAGAAACAACATTTAAATACTTTTCAATAACTTCAGCAACTTTACCTAATCTCCATAAATACAACATTGACCTCATAAATTCAGCAAAATAAATATTTGCATGTACAAGAGATATTAAGTGCGGAGTTATTCTGTGTTGATTTAGTACCATCCATCCTCCAAAAACATTTGCAATTACATATAAATTTTCTTCTAATTGTGTTACAGAAATTCCTGAATAAATAACACTTTCTTTAAGACTAGCAGCTCTTTTTGTTTGTAAATATGCAACGATAGATTTTTCTACTAATCCTAAGAAGAACCAAAACAAATCAAAAATTTTATGAGAATCATTAAATGACTGTAAAACATTAATGATAACTGTTAAGACATAGTTAGCAAATTCTAATGGTTCGATGATTAATGGGTTGAAAGTAGTAATAAACTTTTGTAATACGATTGGTTTTGTTGTTGGATAATCAACCGGACAAACGTAATCTAAGAAATTAATCAAATCCATAACTTTTTTAACATCAACTGCAATTGATTTGATGTTTTGAAGTTCTTTTTGAAGAATTGGTGCGAAATACTCTATTAAAGTAGCACGTGGAATATTCATTAAATTACAAACATTATCACATCCTTTTGTTGCAAAATAATCAAAAAGTTCAATATGTGACGCATAACCAGTTGCTAAAGATTTAATAGTAACAGTTAATGAACTTCCTCGATCAACCAAATCAAGAGTTGTTGGTAATTTTATTTGTGGAAGAGTGCTTCCTAATTTAAGAGAAACAGTTTTATTTCCAATTGGCTTTTTATTGTCGTATAATGGAAGAATGGCAAATCTTTGTTTTTCAATGATGTTTGGTGAATTAACACAATACTCAGTAACTGTAAACAAAATGTAATATGACTTTTCAATTGGTGTTGGAAGTTTAATTTTTATTTCATCATCCATCTGTACTGTTTTAAGAGAAGAATAACTTGAAGAAATAAATTCATTTTGAAGAGACTCTTTAAATGTAGGTGGATAAAATACTTTAAGTACTTGAGAAGAGTCTTGGGCATTGAGTAATTTTGCAGTAACATTAAAAAATTCATGTCTCTTATCTTTACCTAAATTAATTTCATCTAAATAAATAAAAAGAGAATCAAAATACATATCATTAACAGTTTTAGCTTTTTCTCTTTTTTCTAGATATTCTAATGAATAAATATTTTCATCTCCCATTACCATTGTTTGATTTCTACAACAGTCAAATACTTTATATGATGCATTCCATTCTTTAGATAACTTCATTACTGTACATTTAAAACTACCCAAAATAATTGGACTTATTCCAAACATACCAAGTACTGTTGTCCCTACACCATTTTGTGGGTTACATTGTTTCATTCGTGTTTGCCAATTATCTCCCATTACTAATTCTCCAGCGAATGTGAATGCTTTAGGGTCAGAATGATTGTCTTTTGCTACTCCAATGCATATAATTTCTGGTTTCTTGATATAACGAATATCTTCATTTTTCTTCGACTTAATAGATATTGTACTTGATGATTTAATTGGAACTGGTGGTTCACTAAATCTACCAATTGGTTGAGATCCAATAAGTGTTGATTCAGATGTTCTTGTAGTAGAAGGAGGACGAGACAATATCTCTGATTGAATTATATTTTGTTTATTTTGTCTGTTTTTTAAAAATGTTCCGTCGTACTGTTTTTTAGCATATTCAAACAACGAATCACTTTCTCTTGCAATACGAATAACCATAAAAGCATTTTTCATTAATTCTGACGTACATTCAAAAAGAACAAAACCATGTTGGAGTTCTCTATCTACACGATAAATACCACATGTTTCAGTAATTTTAGTTTCTGTTGATTTATCATAAAAAAAGAATTGGATTAATAGGTTTTCATTATTATCTTCTTCAAATGAAATAGAGTTTATTTCAATTTTGTATGTGATTAATTCTGACTTTTCATCTTTCTTTGATACTGGAAGATATGCAATAGAATCGTCAGGTGATAAAAATTCAAAAATACTTTTATCAAGTGATCGTAAAGTATATTGTTGATATAACGGTGTAAAATATAAAAATTTTGGTTCCGTTAGTGTTGATTTTCCAAGAGCCTCTTGACTATCACTAAACTCTTTCATTAATGACTTAAAACAATCAGATTGAAAATAAGGAGAAGGAACGGACAATTGGTCTAATGGTTTAAGATAATTTGTCATTACAATGGAAGAATCTGAAAAAGGTCTACTAACAGATGCTTGGAAAGTATATCCAGAAATTTTATTACCTGATTGAATTGATGTTAATAAACGAGGTTCATTTCGAAGTTTTGGAAAATCAAGAAGAAAGCCATGTTTTTCATATTCTCGTTCTTGATTATATACTCCTAATTTTTCAACTTCTGTGAAGCCATATGATGTTCTCAACTCTTCTTGTGTTTTTTTGATATAGTTATCAACAACAGGAAAATCTTCTTTATGAACATGAACTTTATCACTACCAATAACTTTGTCATTAATAATTTGTTTTACAACATAATCAGGAAGGTCAAGTTTATATTTATCACGTATGTACTGTTTGAGTTGATATGAATCTAAGTAATTTACACCTTCATAATCATATTCATTAAATGTACAACTAATACTTGCCTCGTTTTTTTGTTTTTTCCTTCCTTTAGAATTAGGAGTAGAACTCATTCAATTTATCATTTTTTAGTTTTTTATTTTTTGTTATTTTCATTTTTTTTTTATTTTTTATTCAATGTTATAAAATTTATGTTTTATATTTTTTTTTTTTGATGACAAATTAAAATTAGTTTTTCAACGACTGAAAGAAAAAACAAGCCTGACTTCATGAAAAGTCAATGAAACCTGCTTTATTCGAATATTAAAGTAAAAACCATACAAACAAAAAAAAACAACAAAGTGAAGTTTAATTAAAGGAGAGCAGCTTTAAGAGCTTTTTTGACAGCTTTCTTAACGGCTTTCTTAGAAGACATTTTGAGAGTTGATGTAAGAAGATCATCAACAGGATTAAATCTTTGTTCAAGATGTACTTCTCTAATAAGTCTTTCTTTATACTCAGCTGGGAATTTATTGAGGATCTTTTTCATAACGCCTATAATTCTTGTTTTTCTAGCATGTAATGAGACTATTTGTGATTTCATTTCACTCATCTTTTCAGCGATCTCACTTTTAGCTGATGGAAGAGCATTTTCATAATCAAGTTGGGCATGGTCAATTTTGTCGTGAATTTGTCTTTCAACGTCAAGTATCTCTTCGTATTTAGTATCAAGTAGAGAGAGTTGTTGTTTGGCTTCGTATAAACCTTTAACCCAATTTCCACTTACTGAAACATCAGCACTGACACATAAAGCAATAAGGACAATAATGAAGGCTTTCATATAGAGTAAGATAATATGTATAAATTTGAAGTTTTTTCCTAATAAATTTTGTTATGTTGTGTTAATTTCACAAAATGTTAATTATTTTATAATATTTTTATTATTTATAAAGAATTTCTAATTTGACTTTTAGACTTATCTAATTTATCTAATTGCCTTAAAAATAATCTTCCTATCCCATTTTTTTCTTTTTTTTGTCATTTATATTTTTTAAAAATTTTATAAAAACGATAAAGCAAAAAAAGAAACTGAACTGTAAAAAACGAATTTCAATGAAAGTTATTACCAAATTTAACTATGATACTGAAAATGATTATAATCTTTCTTTTCAGGAAGGAGAAGAGATTGAAGTTCTAGAAATGAACTCAGACGGACTTTGGAAAGGAAGACTAAATGAAAAAATTGGTATGTTTCATATTTCAATGGTTCGTTTTATTGATCCACCTTTATATCTGTTTGTTATCTATAAGTGTATTTCTTTCAAACATGTCTTTAATTTATTACAGGGCCCATGTTATGCAAGACTTTTTATGGGATAATGATGAGTGTATTGCTGCATATGAAAGGGATGTTGTTCTAGTTTTAAAAGAAGAAGACAACGAATGGAGTTTATGTAAAAAAGGATATAATACTGGTTATTTACCAACAAAAATATTAAAGAAAATAGAGTATGATATAACACTACGACATAATAAACAAATGAACAGAATGACAATGGGAATAAGTTTGTATTTTATGTTTTAATTTAATTTAAAAAACAACACAATAATAAAATAGTTCCTCAACCAACTATTTTACCATGTAGATGTATTTCACGATATGATTTTATTGCAACTTCAGATAAAGAAGTTTCATTTTGTGAAGGTGATGAAATGATTGCATTATCTAGTGATTTAAAATGGGTTTATGTTCAACATCCAGAAAATGGATTTGGATATATTCCTACTAACTATGTGATATTTGAAAAAGAAATTTATAATGATATAGTTAACAGGTATGGGTTAGTTATATTTGATTATAATGGAGATTCTAGATTCCACTTAAATGCAATTGCTGGAGATCTTGTTTATGTTGAAGAAGTTATAGGGTCATGGGCTATTTGTAAAGTTGGAGATAAAAAATATATTATGCCTTATTGTTATATTAAAATTTTGGAAGATTATGACCAGAAGACGTCTGAAGAAAGTGCATTTGTATTATCTACTTTTATATCAGAAGGAGATAATGAATTAAATATTGTCAGAAATGAATTTGTAACGATTTTATTAAATGGAGAAAAATGGAGTCTTGTGAGGAAAGGAAATAATGTTGGGTATGTCCCAAGTTCATTTTTAAGTACTATCCATGATGGAGAAAACTATGCATTAATATCAGAAAATGTGATTTCATTAGATGATAACAAGGTTCATGTTAAGCAATATGATATTTGGAAAGTTCTATCAAAAGAGGATAATAATGTAAAATTAATTCGAGGTGGTATTGAAATAATAGTTCCATTAGCACAATGTGATATTAGAAAATTTGAGAAAACGATTAAGAGAGAATATGAAGAGGGAAAAAAAAGAATTGAAGAAACTATGTTAATAAAAGAAAAAGAAATTATGAAGAGAGATGAAGAAGAAAGAGAACAACGAGAAGTTCGATATAAAGAAAAGAAACAAACTGAACAAAAAGAATTTATTAGACAAACAATGAGAATGAAAAAATCAAAAACTTCTAATAAGATAAACGGAGATGATTTCTTAAAAGAATTAGAAAAGAAAAAAATGTTATATGAATCTTCAGAAAATACTGACATAGCTTTATCTTCTTTTAATGCTCCTTTAAAGAAAACAATGACATTCACAAAACCAACACAACGAGGAAATGTCAATTTCTTAAATCGACAACATAAAACAACATCTGTTCATCATGAAGAAAAAGAAGAGCCTAAAGACGAACCTAAAAATGAAGAGTCAATTAAAATAAATAAAAGTGTTTTTGAAGGACTTATTGAAGAAAATAAACAATTGAAACAACAAATTGAAATGATCGATACTTCTCAAAAGGATTTATTACAAATTATTTTTGATTTGAAAGATGAACTTAAAAAAATAAAAGAAGAATTACTTTTAAATTGTCAGGTATCACAAGAATTGGAAGAGGAAAAATAAGAAATTGAGTCATTGAAGAAAATAAAGTAATATCAATAATTAGAACTTTTGAGATAAAATTAATTTTTCTTTTTTAAGGAGAAGAACTTAAAAAGAAATGCAATCACGTTATAAGATACAACCACTTCCTACTTTTATTATCGAAGTAACTCTTGATGAACTTTTTAGTGATAGTATTACAAAAACAATAGAGTATAATTCATGTCATGTAGATATAAATATTTCAAACCCAAAAAATTATCTTGAAGGGTTTTCTATTTGTTTTGCTTCAAATGTTCTTTTCATTATTATGGAATTAAAAGACAATATTTTTAAGTTAAAAGGAAATGAACTCCATGGGTCTTGTACCTCAGATCAATCAATAATAATTAATGGCAAAAAAATTGAATTTGACTTTGATAAAAAAACTGGTATATGTCATAAAGTATTTGATAATATTACAATGTCCCTTCATCTAAAAGATACTCCTAAGAGTATAAATGAAGAAGAAAAAGAAGCACCGAAAAAAGAAATGTCAACATTAAATTCATTAAAGAAATTTCACAAATTACTTTGTCAAAAAGAATATTATTTAAACGAATTAGAACACGCTTTATATAACTAAACTAATCAAATAAGTTAATTTTCTTCTATTCTCTGTAACAAAAAAATCTCTTAATTTGTTTATTTTATTTAATGAAATAATAACTTAATTAATTCAAGTAGCAAAATGAAAGAAATTAATCTTCTCCCCATTTTTTCATAATAGCTCCTTCAGGAGCAGAACCTTCAACCTTTTTCTTTCCAACTTCTTCCCAATTCATATTAAGACATGTTCCTCCAGACTCTAAAAATGATTTATTCATGGCCCTTCGTTGGTCATCAGTAGCATTAGCATATAATTGTTGGAACATAGCATTAGGTCCTCCTTCTTTTTCATCATCTTTCAATTCAGTTTCAAGTTCTTTATCCACTGAATTCCAATCTTTTCTAAAGATATTTGTAGCAGATTGTTGATGATGGTTTTGTTGAGTTTTTGTAAGGTTTTCCCATTGACTAGCATCACTCTTCTTTAATTTAATTTCAATCTTAACAGCTCCAACTCTATAAGTAGATTGATCAATAATATAACTTCCATATAAATGATCAATAATTTGAGTTAATATCTCTTCACCTTTCTTTACTTCAATTGTGACTTGTTCATCTTCAAATGTAATTGTTACATTTTCTTTTGGAACATTTTTTTCAAACACATCAATTACAACATAATCCTTCAATTGATACCAATCGTATCGAAGTGACATTACTTATTAGTTCTTTGCTTGGACTTTTTCTTAGAAATATAACGTGGCAATGATTTGGACAAAACACATCAACACTTCATCTTTCATTCTCTTCTAAAATTTGTTTTTCTCAAAAATGTGTTATTAGATACAACCAAACGAAACTTTGATAAGATGAATCTTTAAAAAGAAGATGATGAACGAAACTTATGTTAATGTTAATTATTCTTCTTCTATTAATGAAGAAAAATGGAAACAACTAGAAAAAGAAAATGATGAAATGATGACCTATTTTTTTATGAGTCAAAAAAGATTAAAAACAACAATACATCCTCCTATTGATATTCTAATTCATAACCTTTTTTCTGATCCTCCTATTATTACAACTCGTGATAAATGTAAAAAATTTATTCATAAACATCTTGTTCATTCAAAATTTATCTCCAAAATACGTTCTTTTTCACATAGGACTATTTATTATTGTCAAATACTCTTTGTGATTGGTATGTTAATTATTATTATTGTTTTTGGTTATTCTTTTTTATTTTCTTCAGTTTCTTTTTTTGTTATTAGTTTATCAATTCCTCAACTCTAATGAAGAAGTAGAGCCTATTGAAGAAACTGAAATAATCACTTCTCAATATGAAGAAAATCGAATTAAATGATTTTTTTTTTATTACTTCATCAATTCCTCATTATAAAAATATCAATTGTTTTTTTTTCCCGTATAATGATTTATTTTCACAAAAAAAATATAAGTACAATAATTCTTCATTTATTAATTCATAAAAAGTATTTGATTTACAACTATGGTTAATTAATTTACAATTTCATTTCCATTGAACAAAAAGAAAACGTTCAAGCTCTGCATCTAGTGAATATTGATTTGACTCATATGCAATATTAGGACCTATATTTCCTTCTCCATCTATCTTTAATTCAAATGAAGATGAAGAAAAATTAAAAAGGAGTCTATTTTGGAGGGGGTTTATATTTAAATTAAAGTCTTTTGTTACTACTAATTTTCCTGTTGGTAAAACATGAAAGAAGAAAGAAGATTTGTCACTTGTCAATGTCCATAAAAATTTCATGTTTTGTACATCCATTTGGCCTGTAGTGAATACTCCAAATACATGTGAGCTAACAGAAATAAGAGCCATAACTCCTTTCATTCCACGAATTTTTGATTCTATACAACGCTCTGTAATTTCATCAACTTCACTATCAAATAAAATACTTCCCATAGTCATTTTTGTTGTATTTTTTAAATCATTTAGAACATTATATTGTATTGGAGTTGCAAATATACTTCCCATGATAATTGAATATATCTATTTTATAGATTTAAGTTTAAGTAGTTTCCACTCAATTTTCATTCCTCAAAGCGACAAACAAATCCAATTTTCACTCTTTACTACTCCCTAAAGTCACTTGCTTTTGTCCCATTTTCACTTTTCATTAGAAATTTGAAAAACTTAAATATTAAAAAAAAAGAATAAAAATTAGTAATGAGATGATACAAATGTATTATGAGATTCACAATAAAAATGTAATACGCTATTCTGTAAAAGAAATGGCTCTCCATCTGTTTGAAGTGGTAACACAAAATTTGGTTTTAATGTAATTATTATTTCTTTTCCTTGTGCTAAGGGTGTTGGTGTTGAAACTCCAATAGAAACTGATCCTAACTCAGCAATATTCCGAATATACATTATTTCTAATATTCCATCATCCATTCTTTGTTCTTTAAATCCTACAGGATTTTTCCATAATGTTTGTCCACCATAACATGTTAATGTTGTTTGAAATATTAAACAATCCATTGGAGGTAAATCAATTTCTTCTCCATCAACTTCAACAATGATTTTATTGTGAATATTTTTACATGAATCATCTAGTAATGCAGTTACACTCATAGCATATTTACATTTATTGATAAATCTTCCGCATGGTCCAATTTCTCGTTTTTCAGAAAATGATTGTGCAACAGCAGCATCAATTCCAATACTTAAATAATTGGTAAAATGTCTAAATTCAAAAAAAGTGGAATCTCCTGGATATGTCGCTTTTGTTACTTTCCATCTATCAATTTGTATTCTATAATCTTTCATTCTTCTCATTAATAAATCAATTGGATTTGCTTCAAATTCAGCGAGTGTTGTTGATGGACTATAACCTAGACTTAAAGATAAATCATTTCCAGTCCCATAAGGCAAAAGAAGGTATGTTACAAAAGGTCCAAATTGATCAAGACATGACTCAACACTCCCATCTCCTCCACAAATTACAATAATCGGTTTTTTCTCTTTTGAATACCAATCATTGTTTTGAGATATTGTTGATGCTTTTATTGTTAATTCTTCAATGTTAATAAATTGCATTGGATGAAAATAACTTCCTAATAAAGAAATTACTTCTTTTGAACGTTTTCCACCACTAAGCTCATTTATTATAAAAAACATAGGCTGTTCCAAAGGCCCTTTCATTAAGTACCGGTTTTTGAAAATAACTTCACAAGGATGAATAAGGTATGGTGCAAGTTTCCCACAATCACATCTACGTTCTAAGTTGTCACAACAACATTTTTCATGAATAGACTCTTTACAATAAATACAATGAAAAGAATTTCCATCGTCTTGACAAATTTCTTTTTTACATACTACACAAACCCCTTCTCCTTCATTTATAAAATAATGTGTTCGTTCACTACTTTTTATCATAAGTTGTCGGCAACAATTTAATAATTTTGGTTGGCATGCACTGTGGACAAGAAGAGAACACCAGATACATCTACATATAGCTCCTCCACTCTTTCCACACACAACACAATTTCCACCTAAATAAGAAGGTTCAAATGAGTGTTGATAATCATCTTGAATATTTTTATTCTACAAATAAGTACTTCTTTGTGATAACATAAAATGATACAAACATAACAGTTAGAAACAACATTATCTTGACAAAATTCATGACAATATCTATTACAGTCATCACATTTTAACACATTTTTCCCATTACAACTCATTCCACATACAAAACATTTTACATTTTGAGGTGTTTGAATTATTTCAAAACGATGATAGATTCGTTTGAAATTCATCATCTCTAAATAAGACATTTCTTTGGGTAATTGTTCTAGTGAAGTTATGATACTACTGGAATCCTCACTACTTTCCATGGTTTAATGAAAAATGATTAGATGAGTTTTTATATACTACAAAAACGAAAAGTTGTTAAATAACAAAATTAAATATTTCAATTCTTAGTTAATTATTGATTAATTGAACTAAATAACTAACTCACTCATTAAATAGAATATAACCTTAAAAAATCATCCAATTTAATTAAGGTTGTATGGCACATGCCTTTCTATAGAATTAAAAAAATATATATTTATATGAAACGTCAGTATTATTAAAAAATTTGCCACTTTTTAAATAAAATCTTTTTTACTCTTCTTTCAGATGGGTTTGTCATCTGCTGTTACATTCAATACTCAAATTAAATTACAATATAATGTCATTGGTACTTTTTGATAGATTGGGTGATTTTATTTAAAACAATGAATAACTCTTCACATTGACTTTGAAGAGTGATAAGTAACTTCTATAAATATATGATGTTATAAATAACATTTTTTCATAAAAGATAATAAATCAAACAGAAAGAATCTCAGAATAATAAAAGTGATAATAACCAATAAAAATACAAAAGAAAATGGAAGTGCTTTGTTTGGTTGAGCTACATGAATTATGCATTTGAAAGGTAATGGGTAGTTGTTAGTTTTTATCAATTTGGAAAGAAAGATATCAAAAGTTGTGTTTGAGGTTGAGGAGATTGGGAAATATTTGTAAAAGATTCTGTCAACTCACAACTCATTTGAGATGTTTGGTGTAGATTGAGTTATTATTAATGAATCAAGACGTTATGCTGATATCACAATAGTTGTTAATACATTTATTGATAGAACAGTATCATTAGATAACAATAAAAGGAAGGTAAATAATAAGTTAGCGTCTAGTTGGTGTGCTAAGAAGATAGGTTTATTTATGATTGCTAATTGTTTTAGAATCTAAAGAAGGTATCAACAGAGAGCGTATAGCTTTAAGAGACTGTTAAGACGATGAATTTTGCTTATATTAATCATTTTTTTGTTATTCATTTCTTCCATTGTTATTTATTCAATTTTAGTAAAAAAATCATGTATTTCATTGTATTATTTGGTTTTTCTCTATTCTTTCTTCATTTTTTTCACAGTTTCTCTTCTTTTTACTATATTTTTATTTTATTATATTATTTTGAGTATAGCATATATTCTTTCTTCCTTTTTAGTTTTTCAATA